GCTCAGGGGTGACCTTATTGCACTTTATAACACCCTCAAAGGAGGGTCAGGTGGGAGTTGGTCTCTTCTCCCAGGCAACGAGCAGTAGGCCAAGAGGGCACAGACTCAAGCTCTGCCAGAGGAGGTTTAGGTTGGATATTAGGAAGAGATTTTTTATGGAGAGAGTTATCAGGGATTGGAATGGGCTGCCCGGGGAGGTGGTGGCTTCACCATCCCTGGTGGTATCAAGGACAAAGAGGAGGAAACAGAGGAGACATCTGGATGCTGGAAACAAAGATTCTGCTTCACTTCTATGTTCTGTTCATGTTATTATTTCTTATCTGGATCATAGATAACAAACAGTGATAAACAAAGTAGTGGTAAAACCTTAAAAAACACCAGAACAGCAAAGCCTTTTAACCAAAGGCCTTTCCCCCAAGAAATGCCTCTAATTTAGAACATTAGTCCTCAGTGTTCAAATGTTAACAACAGTTTATCAGTTCTGACCTGCAAGACTGAAATACTAAAGACCAGGAAATGGTGATGGAGCATACTGCCATTAGAGTTGCAAATAATATCAAACTGGGAGGCCCAGTCAGTATGCTTAAGGACAGAGTTTCATCCATAGGGACCTTGACAGGCTGGAGTCATGGGCCAACACAGACTTCATGAAATTCAACAAGAAAAAATGGGAAAGAAAAACCTCTCAAGAACATAGGCTAGGGAAAGCCAAGAGGAGGAGCAGGTCTATGGAAAAAGACATGGGGACTCTGGCAGGCAGTGAGCTGAGTACCGGCCAGCAGTGCACCTGGTGAATAATGAGGACCAACAACATCTTGGCTGTGTGAATAGGGTTACAATAAGAAAACCAAAGCAGGGATTATTCCTTCTCAGTTCTTATTAGACCAAATCTGGAGTACTGCATTGCATTTTGGGCTCCTCAGTGCAAGAAAGATATTGACAAGCTGGAGCACATTCCAGAGGTGGGATGGAACATTTGCCCTCCGAGGAGCGGCTGGTTCAGCCTGAAGCAGAAACAGTTTGGGGAAACCTCACAGCAGCCCCCTGTATGTATGGGGAAATGATCAAGTGTACACTCAGGCTCTTCACAGCAGTGCATTGTGGCAGGCAGAAACTGCAGTCATAAATGGAAGTAAGAGGTCCCAACAACATACAAAGTAACAAATTTCACTCTGAGAATAACTGAGCGCTGAAGCTTGTCTCTCAGAGAAGTTGAGGGATCACTGTCCATGCAGACATTTCTTGATCTATACTGATTTTTTAACTCAGTGAAAGTTTAGTGCTGCCAAACCTTTATTTTTGGTACCAGAATAAATGTAGCCCAATATTCAGTTATCCTGCCTACTCAAACTCTTCTTGGGACTATATAGTTCAGATTTTTCATAGTGTCTAATGCATTGACAGAAATTGTGACGTCTCCCCTCTGAAGTTTTACCAGTGGCTTCACACAGCAGGATGAGAGAACTGTAATCCATAAAACAAGCACTTAGCTCATTTCATTGTGCTTTTCTCTCTCTTCTAGCAGGACTGTTAGCTTTTACACATGCCATCCTTTCTACTTCAAAGCTCTATACTACAGAAAGGCTCAGTCAAAATAGAAGGTGACTCAGTGTTGATTTTACCAGACAGAGTTTTGCTTAAAGCTACTCTACTTACTACACTAAGTTTATCACCCTAAACCTGAGCTCCATCTGTCCCCACTGAATTCTGTGGGAGCAGGACTGTCCAATATGCTCAGTTGGAATGCCTTTTCAAATGTTCATCCTATGCTCAGAGCCCTGTGCTCTAACACTGCAGAAAGGACTTACCTGCTGTGGAGAAAGTACATGGTCCCAAATGTTGAGCTGGCTGATGGAGCCCACAAAAGACTCAGCTGGATTGAATCCTTCTCCTTTCTGATCTTGCTCTTGACCCAGTACAAGTGCACCACCACCTAAGCTCAAAATTAGAACAGGGATAGGAAACAGAGCCTTACAGCAGTGATCCATAGGAAGATAAAAAACTAAGCAAAACAAAGCTTTTGCCACTCTGTGTTGCCAGGATTTTGCAGTGAAGGAGACCAGACACCTTCAACAAACTCTCTCAGCAAACCTCTGGGAAGCCTTATGATAGACTGAGGTAAGTGAAAATAACAGTTTGTAAGTGACTCTCAAGTACATATGAGAGCAGAAACTACATTTGGCTGCTTCAGAAATGATACGGGCTCTAAGGGACCACTTCTTGCTCACTATTTGAAGCACACCACACAGCAATGCAAATTGCAGTTTTAAGCAGGTGGGGCAAATTTTACAGTGCTACCTTGCACTTCCCGCTTTAAACTAAAGCTCACAAAGTCATAGAGATCTAATTTGATCTCATAAGCACAGTGGTGATTAGACAGTCAATGCTAGATGACATACAAGTTAAACTTCCTCTCCTTGACCAGCAGCATGTGGACATACATTTTGTATATCATAGGGTATGTGGACAGGGTCAAAAAGTAACGGGGACAGCACACTTCCTTAGATCTTACCTCTGGAGATTAACTCCAGTGTAACCATGAAAGACAAGGGTAAGTATAACCTACATGGACAAAAATGCTTCACTATTTTATTTTTTAATTTAATATTGATATTTTTTGAAACACTACGTAAATTTGGACCATGGTCCACACGAACATTTTTAAAACAAAATCTCTTTGCAGCCATATAATGCCAGGCGTTTCATAGCTCTTCAATGCTGAAGGTACTCCTTTTCCTGTCTTCTGAAATGCTGTAAAGACAACTGATCGCAAGAAAAAATGAAAGAGCAAAACCCACTCTGAGCACACATTTGTAAGGGAAGTGCCAGTTAAACTTAACTTTGTTGTGTGAGAAACTTATTCTCACAAAGCCATTCCAAAATCAGCTCAGCACAGGTTCCTTTGTGGACTTAACTCTTGCCATCCATAAAACAAGATACCTAACAGTTTGCCCTAGAAATGTACACTTTGTCTTCAGTGACACTGAGTGAGGGGAACTGTCCCCACAAACAAGAAGAGCAAACACGAGCTCTGCATAAATGCTGAAAATGTGGAGATATACTAAAAACACCAAAATAAATATCTTTTTGCATATCAAATTCTGCAATAAAAAAACAGAATGAAGGCAACAGATCTGGTGTAATATAAATAAAGCATACCAGGGATTTTTGAGCCAACAGAAAGCCCACTGCCTCCATCGGAGAGTTTTCCATCAATGTACACCTTCCACGCCCCATCTGTGCATGTCCATGTCACTGCAATGTGATGCCAGTTGCCATCATTCACTGAGGGACAGTCTGTTATTTTTTCTTTCCCATTTACATAAAGAACCCACCTGCATGGAAGGAAGATGAAGGCATACTCAGTTGCATGTAGTCACTTTTTAAATGCATGGCCTATCCCACTTGACTCAGAGAAATGTTATCTGCCAAACCAGGTAACTATGCCTATATCATACAAGAAAACTCTCTTGAAAGATCATCATACAAGGTATATCTCTCTCAGAGAACTCTTAAGTTATGGTTATCATATGCAAAGCATAGTGAAATAAGTAACACGATTTTGTGCTAAAATAGAAAGACATGGCTGCGCAGTGACTTAAACTTGCCAGTTGAGTACACCCCTGCTTCTGGACTCATGCTACGTGTACTATGAGTGTTAAGCTCCACTTGATCCAGTTATTGTCTCAATGAGTCATTTAAATATGACGTGAATGTACTCCAGAAAAAAATAACTCACGTTTTCTAAATTCACTGCAGTCTTGTCATTATTCTTCTATTGGGCAAAAAGTGAAGGAAACAAAGGAAGGAGAAAAACAAAACAAAGAGACAACTCTAGCTACAGAGTTTGGATGCATATTTTTCTACCCCACACAGAGGCAGGGTACCCCAGGCAAACCTGATATCCAGACTTCTGTTCTACGCTTTCCTTATCAATTCAAGATATCTGTAAGCTACAGAAAGCAGAACTGTGATTTACCCATTGTAATCAGTCAGAAGAAATGCGTTATCACTTCCATTCTCCACTGCATAAGAAATGGGAGTTCCATAGTTTGTAGTATCAGTGGATTTCATCCAGAATGTACAGGTGATGTCACCAAGAGATGGGAAAACACCATCAAGCAAGACATATCCATATATACCAGAGACTTCGAAATCAAGATTGAAACCAGAGGACTGTTCTGCAATAATGACAAAGAGTTTTCAGCAATATTCCCAAAAACCCAGAAAGATAATCAAGTGTAATCTAAGCAAATCCAATAAAACAGACCACTGCCCATCTACGAAAATTATTCACCTTAAATTGAGCAGAGGTAAAAAGACTGTTTAGCAGACCAACATCAGTCAGCATACAGAGCTTTCCAAGGCTAGAAAACACAGTGTTTGAAGACAAATGACTGGAAAAGCAGCTGATTGTCTAACAAACAATGAACATGAACCTTGCTTTTCCGTCCTCTATCAACGAAATGACATATCCATTTAACATCCAGCATCCTAACGAGGTGTATACAACCAGCTGATTCCACTTCATTCACAAGAATCATGGCTTTAAAAAAAACCCCACATAAAACAACCCAAGATTATCCATGCTCTGAACTTACTGCACTGGTACTGCACTGGTATGGAACTGTACTTCTGTGCTGCTGTCCAATGCAGACTTACATGCTTTACAAGGATGCTACATGTAAATGTTATGGAGTGGAGCCCTCCTGAAAGCTGGCAGATTCTAACATAAGATGGCAGGTGTAAATGACCTGTATGTTCTCTACTGCCTCTGTAAAATCAACATGGCTTCTTCAGCTTCTGTTTCAAGATTCACCAGCTACTATTATAACACTTTATCACTTTTATGGAGTGGCTAAAAGACAAATGGATTTGAGCCTGGTGGTTCTTCAAATGCCTCCAGCATCCCTGAGGAAGCTGCGCTAGGTGTGACACATTTTGCCTGACCATAGGGAATTTGATGTCTTTAGGACTTCTAAAGCTAAGACTACCACATATTAACCTCTAACCCTGTGATGCAAATCCCTGCACAAAATACAAGAAACAGAAACAGCTAATTAACTCAGATACACAGAGCAGATAAAAATTAAATCTGATAGACCCACTGGGTAATAAAAAGATAGTGCCACTCCTTAAAAAAGAGAAATGAATATAAATGTAACACAGCACACATGCTGTTACTTGTTTGCAATTACACTTACTAACACCACAGGCTTCACTCAGCCTCTCAGAGTCCCACCACTCTAGCTGCTTTCTGGGGAAGCTGTATGAAATCAGCCTGGCCAGTGCAAATCTTGCCCAGAGACTTAGTCAAGCCACCTTTTTCTGAGACTTAGTCCTGTGTACCTGTTTCACACCTGCTGCCTGTAAAGCCAGGGGGACATTTACAAACGTACGAGTTCAAGGCATCCACACAGGTGGCTTGGTTTAAGCAGGGACTGGAGTCACACTCATTGATGTTCACTTCACAGTTTAGTCCTGTGTACCCTGTCACACAGAGACACCTATGGAGGAAAAGAGAAGCACGCTTCAAAGGTGGCAGCCATCATGACAAAGAATTCTGGCTAGAGGCCAGATCTGCCAATGGGAATGGCATATAATGGATGAAAAAATAAAAATGAACAGAAGACATACTACAGAATTAATGGAGGTTTTTTTTTGGTCGTTCCTCTAAGCATGCTTGTATTCTATTAGATCCATAATATTGCTTCTTGACAGGGACAATACAATATTTAAGCACAGAGCTTGCATTTCTTCATAGGAAATTGGGAGAGACAACCGTTGCATTTCTGTGAGTAAAGCATACCTTCTAGGTACACAGAAGTATAGATGAGAGGTATTCCACTTTTCAGGCAGATATGCATGCATAGAGGAAAAACCAAGGCAGTATAAAGGCACCAAAACCTCTGATATATGCAAAACTATGGTTTTTGAAAGGCATCAAAGCTTCTAGGGCTTTGGGGAGGGAAAATTAGTAAACCCAGACATTAACAGCTGGTCTATCTATCTATATAGTGATCTAGCACATGACACTGCTATTGGCATTTGGGACTTCTGGGTTCAGACACCCTAAAGAATAAAAATAAGTATTTGGAAGATTAAATTGGTGTTTGTACTTTAACCACTATATTCTCATTATGTGCAGCTAGCCGTGTCTTCCCAAGCTCTAGAAATGTGATATTACCAGGTACATAACCAAGCATCAGCTCTAATTCTAGTGGAAAGCAAGATGAGCCCTTGAAGTTTGGGAAAATGGATTTCTTTTGGAAGCTAAGTACTAAAACCATGCAGTCCTAGCATGCTTACATTTCAAACTCTGAGTATTTTCTTTGCTGTCTATCTTAGAATATTTTTAAGACTGAAGACACCAGGCTACATTTTCTTGTCTTTTAAAGTCTCCTTTAATTTCCATAAAAGGATCATTTATATTGGATCAGGCTGTCAAAAGGCTTGCTGAAATCTAAGAAGGCTGAAGCACCACAACGTCTGGCTTTCCACATTGTATTACATAAATCATCCATTTTTCACCTGAAGCTGTTGATACCATCTCTGCATGTAGCTCCATTCTTACAGGGTCTGCTGAAACACTCATCAATGTTTCTTTCACATAAGACACCACTAAAACCTGGGAGGCACTTGCAGGAGAATCCGCCAACTCGATCTTCACAAATAGCCCTATTAAGACACGGGTTTGAAAGGCATTCATTGACCTCCATTTCACAGTGATTGCCTGAGAAAAAAAAAAAAGAAAAAAGTAACAGCTCTGGTTTGAATCAATCTAAGAAAAAAGATTACTAACCCATCTCTGTTTCTTAGGGACTGTTGCTGATCTCCTGAGAAACAGCACACATCAGGGTACCCATGCAGGTTAGGGTTTTACTCCATTAACTGAGGTTAAGCGGTCACAGAACTCCAGAAACCATCTTCGTAGTTAAAGAAATTCATATATAGCAAACTGAGGTATTTAAACATATCTTGCCCATAACGTGAGTAATTTGGGCTGAATTGGGAAATCAGCCAAGGAACTCTTCTGAGCAGCTAATGAAAAGCTGCTACAAAAGACATTTTGCTGAAACCTTAACTCTAAGGAGAAATGCAAAATCCAGAAACACATGATTCTGGGATTTCTGATGTGAAAGAGGCTCTATGTCACAAGCACTGAAGAATGAAGAAACTGCATGTGATTTTATAGTGGAGCTCTTTGGTAACATGACAATCAACAGATACAGTTACTTGTTACACAAATCTATGAAAACAGTAGGAAGCTGACTATGGAGATGGGAAGTACTTTTAATATAGACCATCTTGCCTACTATTTCTTTTAAAATAAAATTAAAAATAACAATTTGAACCCATAGGAATGTAATTTTTTTCTCAACACAGCAAGTTCATGGCAAAATTAGTAGTAGAAGACCTATTACTTAGTAAATCCTTCTGAAGTAAAACTAACACTACAGAGACTCTGAGAGACTAGATGGATCTACGAATCCAGTACATACCTATCAACATACAATATATGCAATAGATAGATATGAATATATATACTGCTATATAGAAATGAGATGGAAATACTTTGTACAGGATAGGAAGACATTTTTTGTTCAGAAAGAGTAAACTCTGACTTAAACAGAACAATGTGTACCTGTGAACCCTTTTGCACAAGTGCAGTGATAACCATTCTTGCCGTCAACACAGTGGGCTCCATTCAAACACGGACTGGAGCTACATTCATTTATGTCTTCTTCACACAAGAGACCTTCAAACAGCAGAGATTACAAGGCATGATCAAGAAATAGTCACTGTCTGCATGCTGCACTGACTAGATGTGGAAAACAGAACATCACCAAACTGCTAGCATAGCAAAAGGCTACTGAGAGCAGGTGATAAAATTCCATGACTGACTGCACCATTGCAAACACCTACAGAGATCATCTGTGTTATTTAGATGCTGGGACATGAAAGACTTAAAGTCCATGGTTTGTCTTTATAAAGTCTAAAAAGAATCCATCAAGTGTTGCAGTTGATAAACATGAACGATGAGGGAGACCATTTCTGGTGGAAAACACAAAGTGGGTTTTTTTAATCACACAAAATTATATCCTCAATAGTATATCAAAATATTTAGAAATCAGCTGCTGTTTTGGCAAAGCATTCAAGAATGTTAGTTTCCCCAGAGATTTCAATACCTTTGTTGTGCATGCAACTGACAGTCTAAAACACTGAGAAACATAAGCAAAAGCCCACTCATTTATTCATAGGGCTGCAGTAAAGCAACGACATAAATGCTTTGTTTAGTCATGCCATACTCAGTCACACAAGCACTTCCCCTGTGGTATCTGCTAACTCCCTAAACTTTATTCCTGTTTTCAGACCAGAAATATCACAAAACAAAAGTATGCATGCACAACCCTCCTACACCTCTCCCTGAATGCTCATCCTTTTATTTCAAAACCTACTCACCTACAGTAGAACTTTACTCTAACCTGTAGATCAGACTGCTTTCCTGTTACAATTCCAGGGATGTGGAATTCTACAGCACTTGTGTTTTGTATCACCTTCTTGGCACAGAAACAATGGCTGGCTGAAGAAAAGCTATCAAGTGACACGAATTACCTGAATAGCCTGGTTGACAATGACAAACAAAGGTCCCAGTACCATCTTTACATATTCCATTGTTCTGACAGGGAGATGATTTACACTCATCAACTTCTGTTTCACATTTCAAGCCTAGAATGCAAAATAAAGGACCGAAAATATGGAGACAAAATTTGAAATGGTTTGGAAACATATATGTAATTATTACTTAATGCAGGAAAACATGATTGATTAAGTGCCTATGTTACAGGATATTCACATTTAGGGTCTTCTTGTTAGACTGTGTTTTAACACAGACCTGAGATAACACCATCTAACAAAAAGATAATAAACCTGAAAGAAATAGGTGTGATGCACATCGGGCAACAGGCTGATCAGTTCCACATAGCTGTACTTAATACCCATCACAAGTAACTTCTTGATAACCGCTGAATTACAAGACATCTGTTTGCTTTGAAGCAACCGGGAAACTAACACTGAAGAGAAGTACAGGCAGATCTGGTGGAATTAGCTGTCTAGAGTGCAATTTTCCACCTTTTGTTAATCATAAGTATTGCCAAGTGATAGGATTTTCAAATCCACTAACTCCGCTAAAAAAAAATCCCATTCAAAAACCCTTTCTGCTAAACACAACATAATTCAGCAAGAACATGCGTATTTAGTTTCTTAACAGTTATGTATTCTAAATCTGTAAAAGATATTCCAATTAGTTAAGCTCTATTTTGCTCTTTTATACCTATTTACGTGAAGGATATCAAGGACTCTTTGCCTTCTTCTCAATTTTTTACCTGTATTCTCAATTTTTTACCTGTATATCCAAGTGGGCATATGCAAATATATCCGCTTCCCAATTGCTTGCATGTCCCATTGTTGTGGCATGGTTCCAGAAAACATTCATGAAAGACCTGCCCAAGGCAAGAGGGATATAATTACAGCAAAGCTAGAACAAAATACTCTACTTTTAAACTGCACACTCTACAGACACTGTGGAAAGAGGGATAAAAAATGTCACCAGCATTAAACTCTAGTTCCTCATCTTTGTCTCCTCAGCACACCAATAATTTTTTTTCCTGCAGAAAAATACCACAAACCTGAAAAAATATTTTTAAATTACCTTTTACTTATCAAAGTGATCATCACAGTTGTTCCCTCATAACTTTCTTAGCTATGATTCACAGGGGACATTTTATAATCAGCTGTCTTTTATATGCGAGTTCTCCACTTAGCATCCTTTTGCATCAGCTAATCACTTCCTGCTACTTGTCATCAGGTGAGCTGGTGGGGAACTTCACTGTGTGGCATTATTTCTTCTGTTGTAGTAAACACGAGTTCATTGAAGCCCTTGAGAAAATGGTCAACTAAAACCACAGGAGATCAGTTTGCCACCTGTCCATATGTTTTATAACGGTTCAGGCCAGATTTATCATGAGGCTGCTTTGCTTCTGTTTACATAATATCCCAACATTAGATTCAATCAGAGCAGTCTTGTCGGGACTTACAGACTGGCAGCCGGGGGAGATGGTGGAGGTGAAGGGGCATCTCTGGCAAACATTGTCACTAGAGCAGTTTCACATGAGGACTGGTCTTTATTTCAAAGAGGATACTCACAGCAGAAGGGAGCTCTGCTTGCCTCCTCACAAGTTTGTCTATGTTACAATATGTAAAATCAAGATTTTACAACTGGGACTTAGATGCCCGGTAGCATTTTCTGGAATTCAGCATATGGAAGACCTCAGATGACCAAGTGTGGTCAATACAAGTTTTACAGATTGGCTGAACCTCTTTCTTGTAGCCTAGATTTTTTTTACGAGTGTAATAAATATTTCATGCATCAGGTGAAGTCTTCAAGTCCAGAATTTAAGATTGCTGACAGTTGATGCTACCTCCTCTGTTCAATGAAAGTGCTTCTATGCACAGAGAGTTTGAGCGCTCCCCTCTCGATGATTGCTTTAACCTCTTCAGGGAATATAGTGAGTAAACCAGCTATATTTACAAGGCCCTTAGTGATATATTGCTGCATGAAGCACTTTTTCTTTAATTTGAGATATTGGAAATAATAATTGTCCTTGCCTGACTGCTGACTTTGTACTGCTTGCTGATATTTTCTGGAAAGGCTGGTGCCATCATTACACTTTCCTCAGCTGCTGAGAATGTAGAGCCAAAACCTAAAGAAGAAAGGCATGAAAGCACTGTTAATAACACTGCATGGCAAGGTTCCTATTCTATGAGGGCATTATATCTGCATGTTAGTAATGTGTCTAAGGATATGCTGAACAAAGTGAATTTGTGGGAAGAAAAAGCAAACTTCACAGTAACCATTACACAAATACGTATTTTTAAGGACGTGCATTTCTAAAACACATATATGCATGTGTATGTATAAAGAATATTTAAATGTTTTTATACAGAGATTCATGCATGCTTATACATATTTGTGTATGTTTATATAGACCTCTTTCCATAGCATACATATATAGAATCACAGAATCATAGAATTTTAGGGGTTGGAATGGACCTTACAGATCATCTAGTCCCAACCCCCCCTACCATAGGCAGGGACACTTTCCCACTAGATCAGATTGCTCAAGGCCTCATCCAGCCTGGCTTTGAACACTGCCAGGGTTGGGCCATCCACTACCTCCCCAGGCAACCTGTTCCAGTGTCTAACCACCCTCACAGTGAAAAATGTTTTCCTAATATCTAACCTAAACTTCCCCTCCATCAATTTCAACCCCTTACCCCTCCCCTTGTCCTTGCAGATCCTAATAAAGAGTCCCTCCCTGGGTCTCTTGTAGCCCCTTCAGATTTTGAAAAGTTGCTATGGAGTTTTCTCTTCCCCAGGCTGAATAGCCCCAACTCCCTCAGCCTGTCTTCACAGGGGAGATGGTCCAGTCCTCTTATCAGCTTCGTGGCCCTCCTCTGGACTTGCTCCAACAATTCCATGTCCTTGAGGGCACCACAACTGCATGCAGTATTTCAGGTGGGGTCTCACAAGAGCAAAGTAGAGGGGGAGAAGTACAGTGCACATATAGAGTGTATACATACACACACTCTGCACATGTAAACTCTGCTTATTGAACCTTGGTATATATCACACAGTCACTCCTACAAAACACAGAGACAACACCAGTAGACAGAAGCAGCTGTTAATTTCACTGGTTGAGATCCAGTTTCGACACTTGTTAAGAGAGTAAGTGGGATGTTTTCTGTTAAGACTACTTCTGGCTATTCTTTATCTCATATCCTTTAGATATTCCCTTTATTCACTTTATCAAGCAGAGACAATTTGGCTTACTTGAACAATCTGTGATGGATCTGGCACCAGTGACAGTTGTTGTTCCATAAAAGGGACAAGATAAGCAGTAGGACTTCCCTGGATCTGGTTGATAGTAGTCTCTGGGACAAGGGTAGCAGGGTGTTAAACCTGTACGAGAGAACTCACCTGCAAGACATGGTACTGCAAGAACAAAAAGATATTTTTTTGAGTGATCTTGTGCACCTTTACCCTACCTACCACCATCTCACTTTCTCTCCACCTCTCATAGTCCCTTTTAAGACTTAAAAGGAAGAGGATGAAATCTGTCAGGAACACGCAACTCTAGGAAATGCCTATTTAAATTCTTCTGTGAGGTGACATGTCATTCTCAAAGGACTATGGAAATATCTCAGAAGTATTTCTATCTATTACTTTTGCTGCTCTGGGGTCAAATTTCAAATGGAACTTTGTTTCTCTTTTATCTTTCACACCTGGTTTTGTTTTTTTCCCCCCTTCAAGGAGGAGTACGGACAAAAGCAGGACTTTTTTGTACGATCAATCCCTGAAGACTATTTCCCCTGAGAATCCTTCTGGCAAAGCTTCTCAACGACAGTTGAGGATCATTTCTTGGAAAAAATTATGGAACAAACTTTGTTAAAATTCAGTATTTTTGTGCAGGAATGTGGAAGCTGTTCTGGAGATAACAGTGACAAATATTCTATCATTCCCTTTCTCTTCTCTTCTCTAAGGAAAAAGGTTTTATTTTCCTGTGGGTACTAATCACATATCTCAATTTATTCCAAATTGGAAATTAGAAGGAGGGCAATTGAAATGATCAGGGTATCAGGAAATGGCCTGTCATTTTGCTAGGTCATGTTGCTTGGTCCACATTTAACCAGAAGAGGAATTCAATCTCAGGCAGATGAATTGGATTACATTAGCTGATGTTTAAACAACAACTTAGAAATGTTAAGAATTTCATTAAAAAAGATTTCATCACGCCTTTTGTTACAAACCTCCACAAGCTGAGACATCCACTGCACCTCTTTTTACTGTTGATGTGTTTTCTGGGCAAGAGATGCAATTCCTGGATCCAAATGCTGGCTGATATGTGCCAAGTGGACATGTTTCACAGGTCTCAAGACCATTAGGTGAATATGTTCCCTGCTTGCACTGAGCTGTAAGGCAGAAAAATTCATAAAGATTATGCAATGTCCAACAGGAAACATGGCTCCTGATCACTGATGATAATGTTGAACTCACAGTGCATGTCACAAGGACTTTTATTGCTAGAGCTTACTCTACTCTGAATGACTTCATGGGTACAAAGAGCAAAATACACCAAAAAATAGACAATTTCGGTAAGCTATTTATAGTGCATTTGTGAATCATTAACCAGTGAGTTCTTTTCCAGTCAGCTTCACAGATGATTTACGGCAACTTGGTTACTCATTTTAATCAACAAAGTTAATGATAATTAAATAATAAGCAGGAAATAAAGCTAGCAATTTCTTTTTCAGAACAAGTCATGAAGAGAGAGTGGTTCTGAGGTGTTCAATGCCTCAGCATTGTAGTGGAGGATGCAGACATTTTATCTTTGATTGTGGTAGGATGGAGAGGGGCTGGTAGGGACAAGAATAGCATTATTTTAAGTGTATTAGTCCCTGCAAAATCGTCTCACAATCTCACAAAATTAAGACAGAACTGAAACAAAGCTACAACGGCCAATTCTTCTTAAAACATCTGTCCAGACACCCTGCATGCCATATCAGTAGTGAAAACTTGGGATTTTTCTCTATATGTGTGCATCAAGGTGCCATTAGGACTGCTCCTCGTTTCACAGGCTAACCTCATTCCAGTACTTCCATTATGAGGACCAAAAGGATGTCACCAAGCACTCAGAAGTGGCTGTCTGAATAAGAAAAAGGTTCTCACCTTTGCATTCAGAGATGCTTCTAGAGTGTAGATATTCAGTATAGCTACCAGATGGACAACTTTTGCATTCCAGCTGCCCTTCCTCATCTTGGTAGGATCCAGTCCAGCAACTTTCACAGGTATGATGTTCCAGGGAGTAATAAGTACCCAAAGGACAGTTGACTGCAATGTTGGAAACACATGTTCCCCTCAGAGTTAAAAATCATACATACCTCTCTTGCCCCTGGAATTCCTGTGTTTATATGAAATATGACTCTGTTCCTCAGCAAATGGGGTACCTCTCAGGAACACTGCAAAGATCTAACTATACACAGGAAATGGAATCAAATTCCCCATCTTAACTTAGTCACAAGACTTAACAGGGTTAAAAGACTGCATATCAAGCACTGTTTTATGTCTATCACCAAGTGTGGATATGCCTGATTTCCCTATGGGAGTGGAATCCTGGGTACGAAAGCATCCTTTTTCCATAGGCTTTGGTTAGGAATATAAACATCCTCTGAAAGTCAAACTGTGCAAAGCATTTTTGCAGTTTATTGTTATGGGAGACCACAAGCACTGGACTGTGTCAAACCATAACCTTCTGCAAACATCCTCTAAAACCTTGCGTTGCAAAAGGATTCTAAATGCATGTAATGAACAAGTCATCTGGCTTACCACACATTCTCCCTCTCAGCACAGAACCAGGCCTGCAGAAAAGAAAGGCCTTCTCTGTCTCCAGTGAGTTTGTGTCAGCAACAATGAGTTCGGATGCAAACTGAAAAGAATACATGGGTTCCTTATTGAGAGTTCTGTTCAGCCTGTTTGTGATTGTTTCCAGAGTTTTAAGGAGTCGTTGCTGATTTTCCAGTTCCAGTGTATCATTCCTTTCATCGGGCAGTGGCACGCTAGCTGGAATATACACAGCAAACACCAAAAGCACACAGATTTTACAGTCAGCACTTCCAACGTTCTCTGGAATATATCAAGAGTGCAACACTCAAGCTTGCCAATGGAAAGTGGAAAGCACGCCATGTGCACAAAGCCCTCCATGAACATGAAGCTGCGAACTTTCCCCCAGGCAAAAAGCCTGTGATGCAATGGAGCTGTGAATGGGTCCAGAAAACTGTCATCTGCATCTTCACCAAGCTTTTGTGAACTGAAGAAGTTTTACTGAATGTATTAGAAACATGTTTTTAAAAAGAAGGCAGAGAAGGATGACATTTTGACTTCTCTTACCTGTGATGTTAAATATTAACTTGATTTTGTGGTCAGTTATTGGAACATTCAGCTTATGCCTTTTGACTCGAGCAGGTGATGCTTTTACAGAGGCAGAGAGATGCTTGGATAAGTCTTCTTCTTGTGCTACATCAACAAAATCACCATAGGAATAATCCAGCTGGTTTGCTGTCCCCCAGCCAGCAGGTCCTGTGGGACATTAAGAAAGAACAAAAAGAGAAGCAACGTCATGTGGAAAGTAAGTACCTGTACTTTTTTCTAAAATACATCCTCAATAGGATGGGATCTGTTTGAAGTTCCAGATGATGTGTATTGACTTTGCCTCAGCACAAGTGCCTTCTGTACTCACATTCTGACTGATGTAAAAGTAAAAACCAATTTCACCACTAACTGGTAACCTAGAGATCCTGAATCTTGGGCAGTTAGCCAGAGTTTCAAAGAAGTAGTTATAAAAGCTACATGTTGCAATTATTTTTCCCTCTATCTTGCATGCATCCCCACCTGCCAGGAACATCTTAAACAATTCCATATTGCTCTTTCTTCCTTTTTCTGCTCAACTACAGGCAGTGCAGCCTATGCCATGTCTCCATTATAATTTCTTCTCACAGCTCCTGGACAGCTCTAACATCTGATCTCTCAAAAAAGCCAGTAACATCACCTTATGTGTTTATTACTCCCAGACAAGCACTTCCTGTTATACACAGTGAGTCAAATTCAGACACTGTATAACACCTTTCACCTGTAACATGATTTCAACCAGAACCAATCAGTTGTTTTTGTACATTGTCTACTTTTTTAGAATTACTAAATCTAGAGGAGCATGGTCTATTTCATTGATAGAATCACAGAATCATCAAGACTGGAGACCTCTAAAATCATCAAGTCCAACCTTTAACCTGCCACCCTGCTGTAACCCCTAAACTGCAAAACGTATCTTTCAGTGCCACATCCAGATGCCTCTTAAACACTTCTAGGGATGGTGACTCCACCACCTCCCTGAGGAACCTATTCCAATGCCTGACCACTCTAACAAAGAAAATATTTTTCCTAATATTTACTCTGAATCTCTCCTGTCTCAGCTTATGACTGTTCCCTCTAGTCCTCTTGTTGTAGGCATGACAGAAGAGAACATCCCTCAGCTCTCTACAACCCATTTTCAGGTAGTTCTAGAGAGATGAGGTCACCCCTGAGCTGACTCTTTTCAAGGCTAAACAAACCCAATTCCTTCACCTGTTTCTCCTACAACATGTTTTCCAGACCTTTTATGAGCCTTGCTGCCTTTTGCTGGACTTGCTCCAGCACTTCAATGTCCTTTTTAAAGTGAGGGGCCCTAAACTGAATACGGTACTCAAGGTGTGGCCTCACCAATGCCGAGTACGGGGGGATGATCACTTCCCTAGCTCAGATCTAGTTCATTTTTCAAAAACATGAAGGTAGAAAAAAATTCTGCCAATTACCTGTTAGCAGTCACCTAGATTATACAAAATTTACAATGGAAACTAGGACAACTCAGAGCTCTGTGGTTAATACTGTGTGAGTATTCTGCCACTAATTTTCTAAACTCCTGTCTCCTATGACCTGAGAACAGTTCTCCTCTCCTGCCTCCCCAGTGTAAAATCGCGAGAAACTCCTGAAGACTGACAACAAGGTTACTCCAATAGAGGCTGACATGAACCAGAAGAGAACAGGACTCTACATTCCATGTCCTCAGCCCTGTTTTCTCCAAATGCCTTCACAGGTTACTTCCAGCTTTCATCAGCATTCATCCTTACCCTGATGACAACCACAGACTGAACATCCAGCCCTGCCCAGTTTTGTCTGAATACAAAAAAACATGCTCTTAAACTGAGTGAAGAACATCTAAAAGGTGAGCATAAGCAGGCATCTCTACCAAGTAGCTCCACTATAAGCCTGGAAAAGAGTCACAGAGTGCATATTCTCACGTGGATCAGCCAAAATGTCTCCTGCTGAGACAGGTAATGTAAGTTACCCATTTCCAGCTTGTCTGCTCTGAGCACCCCCACGGGACTCAGAAAAGCCAAGGACAACAGCAATACAACATGGACACTAACTGGTTCAAAAATTGACTGAAAATGTCAGCTTATTGGGCATAAAGCAAAGTGGGAATAATCACTAGGACTGCGGTGGTTCTCATTCCGATATAGCTACAGTTGTGATGTAAAATTTGCCCTTGCACATAAAAAGTAATTTCACAGCTAATGGGCAAACTTAAGCTTGTATAGCTTTACAAAATGAGGGTTTTTTGCAGATCTGAAAGAGCATCATGGATGCTCCTCATTTTCTTAACCATCTCCAAACCCATCTATTTTACCTTCTCAGTATTTTGGTTTGAAAATGTATGTTTTAAAAATATTACTTTCTTCTAGGCTAACGGAGCAGGTTTGTAGGATAGCTGTGTGTGTGTCTGCTCTTTTGTTCCTCCCCGTCATGAGGCATCTCAGTAAACTTTTCCTCTGCATTACATAGGAAGCAGCATCAATACCAGACATGAAACAGTTCCACAATAATTTTATAAAACATACTATGAAATTGCTTATTATCTTATCAGTGCCACAGTAATTTTAAAAGAGTATCTCTCACAATACACTGTGTACTTCAAAACAAAAGGAATTATGCTGCATGGATAGCTAAGAATCTATGGAATCAATAATTACCAATAGCAAATCCATTTTCGTAATCATAATTATATTCCAAACAATGTTTCTGTGTCTGATCTTCCAATCTGCAGTCAATATCATCGACATCATTACAGAATGATGGGACCTTTCAACATAAAGAAGAATAACATTAAATCAATAAAACCACATAGCCCTCTCCCCTGACCTTTCTTGTGATGTTGATTTCTTCCCTCCATGAAAGCAGTGAAGATTATATAAGAATAGATTAATGCATGATTTTTGATTAAGTACGTATTTCTTGCTTTTTTCAGAAAACTTTCATGCATGTTGGGTGCTTTTTTTTCATTCAGTTTTCACTGGAAACACAGTTCCTGCCCATTCCTTCCCCCTTTTCAGATCTCTGCTAGAATTTCAAATTCTTGGGAACAGGACTAAGCATATTCAAAACAACCTTTTTTGAATGCTTTCCCAGACTGCTGGCATTTTGATGTAATTGCTTGGGAAGGTCACTAAGTATTTTTTCCTTATTACCTTTTGCTTGCCAATAGTAATGGTTAAGCACTGGAACCTGGTGGTACCTGGCTTTTAGATGAAAGAAACAAATAAAACCAGGCAAGATTTCTCTACTGGAAGAGAACAAACGTGAATCAAGGCAAGTGAGTTACAGACAGTTAGGTCCAAGTGTCAGACATTGCCTGACGTGTTACATACATTTTCAGCCATTTGAGAATGGCTACTTAAATATATTCCAGAGTTGCAGGAGTTTGTCCATTAGCTGCACGTGTTAATAGTGTTTTTTAGCTAGCAGAGAAGCTTTTATTAGCATATGGGCCTTGTTCTGCAATACCCTGTAAATGCCCAGTGTTCTCTACTGCAACAATGCTAACACACTTGGCCTGAACACACACCCTTGGGACTGCAGCTGAAAGTCTTGCTGCTTCTGCTTTTCAGGTGGGGACAGATTTGTGGATTAAAAGGGGAGATTGCGATATTGAAGTAGAAAGCAAGAGACAAGGTAGGGAAGAAATATGTTACCCCCTCAAGTTCAGTGCCTTACAGTTCTTAACAATAAAAGTGAGAATTCAGAAGCTCCAGAAAACTGAGCAAATCACTACTGCTGGATTTAAGTGCCTGGACATATGCATCAGATGTGGAATTTATCCACTTGTATACATATATGTTCATTTATGTTATATGGATATATGTTATATATATTTTATATAAAATGCATTTATTTTATGAACACATCCAACTTATAAAAACAACACTGAGATTAGGGGACAGTTGACTGGGGCTTTCAAATCTGTACAAGTTCACTCTGGAAACCTACTGAAAAATCTATGAGCTGCAGGACCCTAAGCTACTTGGACACTTATATAAATTTTTTCCCAAATAACTTCACATTGAAGACTAAACTGAATTACATTAAAATGTCAGTGAACCATTTTCATTTTTTAAAATGACTTGTCATCTTTTGAAAAAGCACAGATTTCACTTATGGGTTTCTGCTGTTATTTTCCTTGTACAAAATCAGTCAACTGGGAAAAGTAATGATGCGTATTTTAAAAAAAGTAGGTAAAGGGAAGGAGTATTACTAACCTACCATTTTACCAAGTGCACTCTGGAATGCATCAGTAAAGCTGTTTACAAGATTGTTGTCATCGCATCGCGTTGCTTTGTAGAGCATCTCAAAGGATTTGAACCCATGGTTTGCAAATCGATTTACTGAAAAATGTTGGAGAAATAAATTTTTATTTATCAGTGCAGGAGTTTTAGAGCTGAAATCAAGGTAATTCAGGCTAAAACTGGAACACAGTAAGGTAAGAAGCACTATCTTTAGATTAGCAACATAAATGGATCACTCATACCTCAACCAAGGCAGTTAACAGGACCCTTTGGCAGGCATGAGATTTACTGGGAAAGCCAAAAGACATTAAAAACCATATCTACTTCAGCTTTTCTTAATGGAAGAAACCAGTAACTGTCAACTAATTTCCATACTTTTTAATGAGAGAGAAGCAATATACATTAAAAGTCTTATTACTAATGTTGCTACCTTAATTATGAAAAATTCTCATCCAGAATTTATGCAAAGGTAAGTTTCTATGTGTCCAAGTTATGGATTTTGAATTGATAGATAGCTCTGAAACATAACTCACACTTGTTCATAGCCGAAACACTACTCTTGTTTGTTGAAACCAAGAAATTTACTCAGATGCAAGTGGATGCAATATGGTACCAAGACTGGCTTCAAATGTAGTTCTAATACATTTGTTGCAAAAATATCACCAAAGGTGGAAAATTCCACAGCTAAAGATTTGCATGTGTCTATCTCAAAGAAAACATATAAACAATTCTGACTGGGTGGTAATTAGATATGTAAGTACAGCACACACTATGCACTTGGATCAATAAGTTGCAAATGCTGTTGTAATTCCTACTGGAAAGACAGTGCTTGTAAACAAACTATTTCAATTAACCTGTCTGCGTTGCCATGTTTGCTGTTTTGTGATTTCCAGGATTCAAATTCACTGCTATTTTTGTGTTTTATACAGCAGCTGAAGTAATACATTTACAGACTTTCAAGCACTATCTCACAGTATTTGTAACAGTTCAGAGGACAGAGAACATTTATTAAAATGAAATAGAAGTCAAAATTTCTAAAATACTTTTGTCTATTTTCTCAGTATACATAATGTTTGATGAGTTGCAGATTCATTTTAGTAACAGCAAGACTTACAAGAGCAGCCAACCCGCTCTGGAGAATAAGGTGGCTTCCAGAAACCATCCACATATGCACAATAGTAGTTTTCACTTGATCCTTCTGAAAAGCTATAACCCTCTGCACAATGTAATGTGCAATTAACTCCTGCTTCATCTGATGTGCATATAAAATCCCCGTTCTCAGGCTCAAAGGAGATTTCACAGGGAGAACCTACGAAAATACAAAGTTTTATATACTGATGAATATGGTGAAGTAAATAATCCTGCAGGAAAATGGCACTGATAGGATTTCCATAAGTATTGACCTGATCTTGCTTCTGTTGAAGTCTGTGGAAGTATTATTTGTTACTTCCATAAAGTCAGGATCACAGGACTGCTAAATAGCTTTCTAACTCTGCCCCGGAAATTTGAAATCCAGAAACATGAAGACAAAAAATAGTTGTGATACATATGAGAAACTATTTACTAAAATAATATAAAACATAAATCTACATTTTCACATGAACTTTATACAATGAATTAGAGTAAACTAGACTGCCTCTTGAATTCTGAAACTAAACATTATCCATTCTGCAGCAACGCAACAACACATGAACTTGCCACAATCATCTTAGGAGGGACTGAATGTAAAATCTCAGTTATGATTTGTTTTTCAGGCAGACTGTGATTGAGGTTATGAATGTCTGAAAACATTATGTCACAAACACTGAACCACAAAAAGTCTGAGGTGGTATAGAAACTTGAAATAATGCCAATTCTAAGCACTGGCTTGCTATTGGTAAGATTTAGAGCAAACCAGAACCTAGCATATATATCTGCAACTTCCTGTTTCTAAAAGCTATAACTAGAATTCCAGTCTGAATGATTTTAAATATTCCCAGCAGACCTAGGAGGTGAGTGAAGCAAACATATCTTCTTATGCTGATGCCCAGCTGAGACATAAAAATGAGAAAGCAGAGATGAAGTAGAATTTTGATCCTTAATACTTTATCGGCTGAATCATTGTTTGAACTTCAAAGAAGAAAGTGAACTGTGGGGAAAAGATGTCTATGCAATAAGCAAAATGCACTGGTTTATCTATAGGTACAGGCAGATTCTAAAATCTAAAGAGTGCTCTCTTATCTACTACAATATTTGTAGATGATTACAGAAAAATTTGCATAAAGTTTTCCTTTTTAACAACAGATCTGAAATAAGACACTTCAGTAACACCTATTAATACATCTCACATGGTACCCATCACTGTGAAAAAATAAAGATCCATTACTGTGTGCTTTACCGCTTATTGAATCATAATTTCAATGCTTTCACACCTAACCTGAATTTATGGACAAAATTCACTGCTGTGATGTTTCAGTCTTATGACAATTTATTCTTTGGTACTAACAAATATCCTGACTACCTCTAAGTTACTCCAATATAAAATGGGAATAATTAAATGAAAAAGTGGAGACTAAATGAAAAAGTGGAGTAGTCTGGCATCCTTTATGATATTCAGTTAAAACAATGCCATAAGCTTTTGACCAGAAAATGAAGACAACAAACCTTTGATGATAATGTGGATATCACATGTCTTGTTATTGCCAGAAGGATCTGTGGCTGTATACTGAACTATTGTCTCTCCTTTGGGAAAGAGATCTCCAGGTGCATGACTCCTAGTGACAGTCAGTGGACCACCTAGAAGAGTTAAACAGATGACCTAAAACATCAGTAAGTAAAAGAGGGCTGCTCATCCCCAACCCTGACAAATGTTAAAGTAAATAGCAGCATATCTTCAAAATCAGGTGTATTTAAAAGTAATTAAGTAAAAGAAACCTCAAAAAATGTAAAACTCCAAGGGATCAAGGGTTAACAGGTTAGAGTTCTCTAGCCTTGCACTGTTGCATGCCTGTTTTGGGGTGCACTATCTCACCTGAATTGTCTGAAAATTCTGGTTCTTCCCATGTCGCTGGATAATCATTCTCGGCTGCTTGCACAGGTGGTGGAGATCTGCATCTATCAACTACAGGAGGCTCTGCATCTGCAGAATTTTAAAGAATGGCATGCCATTAGCTTACAGAACTGCTGCCACACTCAAATGGCATCTATATCAGAAAAAGTCAGGTAAACAGCACTTCTAAGTAGACATCAGAAGATACAACACAGGTGCACACTTGCAAGCTGCTGCAATTGGAAGATGCTGAGTGAATGTACAGGACTGATTCTTCTGCAGCACCCATGGTTTTGGCAGAGCTTGCTTTCTACAGAGCAAACCTTGGACTACCTACAGGACTACTGTATAACACAACTGTGACACAAACACTTGAGCAATAATTTGCATCAGCAGTGTGTGGGAACCTTGGAAATATTATGGGGACGTCTTTCAAGAATTAAAAAGAGATATATGATGAAGGCAGTAAGGGACAACGCAGTAAAGAATTGTGTATGAGGAGGAATATTAACATTCAGAGTGAAGGGCAAAATAAAACACAATGACTGCATACCATGCAAACTGTGACCCAAGATCAGCAAAGCATTTATGGAGATGATAATACTGCTGTGCTTATAACTGCACACAAAAAGGCCAGAGTGACTCACAGTCTCTTTCTGCACAAATTAGAAGGTTTCAGCCATGACAGACAGACTTTCCTGGTGGTTTTTGCTGGCACTTACCAATAACCTTGACACTGAATGTACAGCTTGCCTCATTGCCTGATTTATCGGTTGCTGTGTAAGTAATGTCAACTTCGCCAATTGGGAAAAGAAATGGTGGTATGAAAGCTGGGGTAACGTGAACTGAGACCTGTTACAGGAAAACACTTGTTATTTAAAAGCCAAAGCTGGTTACTAATCATGACACTCATGTTTCAAGGAATGTACAGAATAGTATCCTTCAATGGCAAGCCTTCTCATTCTTAATGCAAATAGCCTCTTAAAGTAATGATTACAGAATTTGCAACAGAGTGCTCTACTCCCCTTCTGAAGTCTGTCGTCTTTATAGCAACAGGGATTTACGCAGTCAGGATTTGGACCCTGACTTGCTCCAGTTTACAGAACTGTGCATCAAGAAAACTGAAGACTGATCCTTATTTACCTCACTGCACTGAACACACAATATGCCAGCTCAGAAACTCTTTTGTCTGCTGTTCAGTTCTCCAGCTGCAAGGGCAGCAGACCTGGGAGGTGAGTGGAGCAAAGAACTGTGGGCTGCAAGTACTTATATACCCAGTTTTAATCTACATATGTTTATGAGTCAATAGCCCACAGATGCTTCAGTATGTTTCGGTACAGCAAAGGGACCCTACATTTGGAGTAAATGACGTTTTGATGCTGTCTATGGCTCTTTCATATGGCTTAGAGCTGTCTTAAGAAATTTCTCTTTAAAAATCATAATTAGTTCACCTGACAGCCATGGCTTTGACAAACCTCTTACAACTAAGAGCTAAGGCACTTGGCATCTACAGATCAATGAATGACCCTATGTCAGCAGAGCTACAGTACCTGACCATGGCTACACTACAAAAGAAAAAAGCATGGCTTCAATCTCTTTTACTGGGATAGCTCAGTTTCCTAGTGCAAAAACCTCCTGTGTTTGCAGTAAATGAAAAGCACACAGACTCACTGCTACTCTGTTGACTCCTGATAAAACATTCAGTTGCTGTAACTTGATAATGTCTGAGCCTGTAGGGAATGTTCCTCTTTATGAAGCAGCTCTGGAGCAAGTTTTCCTTCTAACTCCATTTCCAGACCTCTGATACCCGTAGTAGCCAAAGGCCCATGTATGAACCTTGCATAGGAAACTGAGATTTCTCTTTCTCACCCAGGAAACTTAAGTGAGTTCTTACTTATCACAGTGTGTACTTGTTAGCCATTTAAATTAATGAACTGGTTTACTTCCTTCTGAGAAGAGTTTATTAAACTTCTTCACATGCTAAGTGCTCATTTTTAAAGTGGCTGTCTCCATCTTATAAGCAAGGGCACATTCTTTCTTTTGGCCACATAAGTTAACCATATGAAGTTTTATGCACTGAAACACTAAGCAGAGTGTCCTGTGACTGCAAAACTCTAATCAAGATAGAAAATGCTGAATTCTCAAGATATGAACTTCCTAGCAGATTTTTGTTCTCCTCCTGCTTGTCAGAAGAAATAAATTCTATCGGATCATAAAATTAATTAAAATCAGAGAGACTGCCTCCAGTCAAATAAATACAGATTTTAACTTGCCTCATCTCCAGAGTTATCCTCAGCTGTTGGTACCTGCCAGCTGATATTAGCAGAGTTATGATGTTCCAGAGTTACAGTCTCAATATTGTCTGGACAGTGGATCCGAGGTGCTTCAGTATCTGATCCAGAAAAAGACAAACTAGGTTTTTAATGTGGGATTATAGAAGTAAAAACTCTATAATGATTAGACTGAAACTTGTTGTAACAACTGGTTTTCATACTTCTTGGAATATAAATGCATGTATTTTTGCAAATTTTCTGTCTCTGCCCCTTTTTAATTCTTGCCTATAGCCTCACACATAAATAGTAAATTCTCCTGCAGAAAGGACTGATTTTTGTTGCATTTTTGTACAACGCTGAGCACAATGAGACACTGCTTCCTACACAGAACCAAAAAAAAGAGGAATAAATAAGAATATATATGTTGCTTTTATTATTCATCTCTTCCTTCTCTATCTTTTCACTGTCCACGCACATGGCATGGACACATGAAGACACTTGTTTCTGGTAATTGGTGAATTAAAAAATCCTGAAAGTAGTTGTGACATATGTACTATGAACAAGAGAGTAGTGACTCTCAGATTCTCTGAGAGTCTCAGATTCTCTAAGAGTGGTGTGGAACTGGCTTGAAAGAAACAATGTCAAGAATTCGGGCAGCAACTGCTGGAAATGTTCCTTAATAAACTCCTGTTACAAGGTATTATGTAGGACAAATGGAGTCTTCTTGTGATGTGTGACAATGCTGGATGATTTTGAAGGACTGGTGGTATAATATGGGTAACATCATCACCAACATTTAAGCCTCAAGTTTCTCGGACAAACTTGAAGTACTTCTTCAGTTCCCTGACATAGGGCCTCCCAAAACATTTGTGGTCAGGTTATTTCATTGCTGTAGCGTTGCTTGATAAATGGTCTCTAGACTACTGAGACAAGGACACATTTGGCTCTGAACTCATCTATGCCCAAGAGGCTTTAAAATAACTCACAACTGACATAACTTATATTTTTACTACTAAACAGTTCCAGTAAGGACATAACTTGGGAAATTAAATTCCATAATTAAGAATGCAAAGCAATAAATACGAGTGATTTTTGCCTTCCTTTGAACTAATTCAGATGACAATTTTATTACAAATGCACTCTTTTAAATAACTACCAGTTATGGTTCACACTCCTTTGACCACAGCCCTCAAGCTGGGACAAATTCCATTTAAAAATGAAGTTCTGGAAAAGCACTAATAAATAAGTCAGAAAGAAAATGGCTGTGTTGAACTGGCCAAATATGTTGGCAGCAAAATAGAAAAAGACAATAACAAGAATAAAGCAATTGAAATGCATCTGTTCATTTTTACTCGAACAGAGTAACCTTCAGAGTTTCTCAGTGCCTCTTACTTTAGGGGTTTTTGCACTGGTAATATCGAAAAACTTGAACCCATGCCATACTGCTTTATCTTGACCTAAACACTGCAGCTTGCAGCCTTGTGCTGGGATCCCATCACATATTAAAAACTGTGGTTTGGCACAGGTTTACACAAAAGATTCAGAAAAACAATGTGGTACATCACAGAGTGGGAAACAGTATGTTTAAAGAGAGGGATAAAATCTTCCTGGCCTCTACAATGAAAAATTTCCCACCTCAGCTGTTGTAGTGACCTGGCATGATGACTGCCAACTGTTTTCTCTACTGTTCTTTCATCCAGTGGCTGGCACAGGCCCGTTTGGGGTGAAAGCATTAATGCTAGGAGCACAATAGTTCATGAAGAGGTGAATAGCATATTCCCAGACAAATTGCACTTTTAGTTTTATCTTGCCAAAACCAGGCTCCTTCCAATTCAGTAACCCTTGTGCACTGTTGCCTGGGGCATGTTAACAGTTACAGTCAGTACAAAGACAACTGAAATGAACATTCCTCTATCAGCCAGGGTTTACACAGCATTTACAGTTTTGCTCCAACTACAGGGTTTATATAAAGCTGTGCTAAACCAGTAATAATACTATTATCATTGTCATTCTACTAGAAGTGTGGGTTCCACTTTCACTACCTTTAAGCTACGAGCTTTTACTTCTACATTGAAATTTCAAATTTACCTGCACACCAGGCCTTTTAGCAGGCTGCTTCCCAACAACAGCGTCCCAGGAGAGACAGCTGATCATGAGCACTTTAAAATGACACTCAAGGAACCTCTGAACTCCATATTTTTATTGCAAACTACAAGTAAATCTGACGATCAAGCTAAAATGGTACAAGTAATACTTCCTACACACTGTATATATCATGCTTTCTCCAGCTCAAACCTGTCTTGACTCAGTTATATGCTGTGTGCTTCCCTTCAATTCTGCACACGTGTACACAGACATGATTTTGTGTGGGTCTCTACCTTTACACAGAGCCTCCTGGATGTTTGTACTCCATCTCCCAAAGGAAATGCACCTGAGTTCTTCTCTAGCTCCAGACAAAATGAATCCTTGGGGACAGCTCAGGTGGCACACAGTCCCAGAAATGGCAGGCTCCAGCCCACACATGGGAGGGAGAACTGTCACACCTGCTGGTCTCTGGAGGATGGGACAACGCTTTTCTGCAAGAGACCAGAAGGACATGACTGATAACTGACATATACAAAGCACACATACAAAAAAAATCTGCAAATAGTCATATGGCCACTTAGCAGGAATACAAAACACACAGTCTTTTTAAGAGTCTGTATGTGTATAAGAGTGCATCAAAACAGTGAGACCTGACTGAACTTTGTACTCCAGAACTGACTGAAGCAAATAGCACCCAGGATATCGGGTCTTCTGTTTTCTTGTTCATGTGTTTTACTGCGACAGAAACATGGTATTTTTCATGTGGATCCATGGTATCTTACTCTCTGGGTTTTCCTTTTCTTCTTTTTTGTTTTCTTTTCTTTACAACTTTACCTCTCATGGGTTAGTTTGCAGCTGCATTCCCTTTCTTCTATGAAAACCAGACTTCATAGTACGAGTGAGGTAATAGTCTTGCATCTATAGCCATCTACAGTTTCTACACTCTCTTTTGAAATAATAATGAGAGAAGAAGGATACCCTGCCATAAACTCACTGTATGTTAGGGATATGGCATGTGATTTTGCCTATTGCATTCCAAACCAAATGAAATTGCTTTTGGTCTTGCCTGTATTCAAAACCCAGCTGGAAAGACTCAGGGTGACCATAAGAGACAGATGAGCTTCTCTGTGAAATCAGGAAGTGCTGATGGTTGCTTAAGGGTTTAAAATGAAAGTTTTGACCTATTGTATTATTAGAATTCACGACAAATTCAAAGACTTTTTGCATCAAAACAAAACCCATAATGTATGTAAACAGGTTCACAAAAGCTTTGTTTCATTCTTGACATGAGGCAAGGAATGTTATTTTTACTTCAAGCGTAGAGGTGTTAACAAAGTGGGCAAAAAGGGGTGTCCCATGGATGGAGTTCACAGACTTTCAGTAGTGTTTCTTACAACAACAGACAATAACAGACAAACACACAAGAAAAATGCTTCATTATTCACAGCCAATGAAAAAACTTGTAATTCCAGTGAAGAAAGCAGAAAAGTCTTTACATGAAGGGCACTCAAAACCCAACCCAATTCAGCTACACAGAACAACAACTGCAGTAGTGTTCCTTAACTTTTTGTATCTGTACTCAGTTCCATAATTCGATCAAGCTGATACAGAAGTCTGGACTGCATGAAGAGCAGAATGATATTCATGATATTAGTCATATGACTAGGGAATTAATAGAGAAGAAAAAAGTACTTCTAAGGAGAGACAAGAATCTGCTTTCACCTGTGATGAAACATAACTCTATTGTAATTCTTAAAATCAAAAGGAACTTAAATATTGTGACAAATCAAAAGATTACGAAGCAAATCTTGCCTCTTTGCTTCAATCCTTTTTCAAGTACTATGCTTCAGCGAAAAAAAAATTAGCCAGCTGCAATTAGAAGTGTGGAGTAGTAATTCTTTCAACAATAGGTGGCATCAACACCCTGGATGCCATCTGTATTTTACCTTCCTTCACAAAATCTTGAACAAGGCAAGAACGGTGTCTTGCAAAATTCATTAATCTTAACGTAATGGATATAAATCTTTTGTCAATGAGAAGCAAACACAAGAACATGACTATGGAGTTGTGTTTATTTTTAAAATTGGACAAATGACAAAGCTTCCCTTTTCATCAGGTATTTTCTTTGTCAGCCAGCTATAAATATATGTAACCTACTCTAAAGTAGCTCATTGCTAACAATATCTTTGATGAAAAAAGATAAAAATTTAAAACATATATAATACCCAAACTTGCATTAACTTCCAGTCTCTTGGGAAAAGATGCATATGACAATAGACCTTACAGAAGTGACTGTAAACAATCCAGGCAATGTTACGTGGTACAGTGTCATTTATTGTTACAGATGGCTAGAATACTTGCAAGTACGGCAAACTCTGCACTGATGAGCAGTCAAACTGCAAAGCATTCAGAAAAAGAGCTAGAAAAATACCCTAAGGTCCAAGAAATCTGTTTGAAGGTAAAAGACTGAATGCAATTCCATTTCATTTTTCTACCAGAAGGTATGAAATTAATAAATCATTCATTACAAAATGCCTAAATACAGCAGGATTTCTGGTACCTTTTATATAGCAGAAGATGAGTAATAGTTAGCAGCTTTTCACACTAAAATGAAGAATACCTCCATGATAATGATCACTCAGAAAATGAGTAAAAAGGGCAGTTTTTGAGGAGGACACCATATTAATCCTCTGATTTACATCCTTCCTGCATAAAACTGTACACATCTATATTGAACCAAAATGTCAGCAAGCTTGTTCTAAACACCAGTCACAAGAGGAAGCAGCAGAGATGCTTTCTAACTAACACTCTTCCCTCTGTGACAGTCACAGGTAACTTTTATACCAGATTTTTAGACTCAGCAAAAATAAGATATTGCCATAGGTAATCCAGGAATGGAGGCAATATTGCATGGTGTGAAAAAATCTTCTGATAGAGAGTAGAGCTGGATTTTATTAATCAAAATGCTAAGCTAGGAAGGATGAATTCAACTGATGAATACAGTTAATCTTCCAATTATAATATTCCAACAGGATTTCAGGGTCCCTTCCTTTTGAAGTTAATTGAAGTTTTTCCACTGACTTTAACAGAAGAAAGATTAGGATCTCTTAACAAACTGTCTTTATAAATTAATTCTTGTGGATTATTTTCATCATTTTAGAGAACAAATCTACAGTTAGAAACTTATTCTTGTCTTATACAAAGTCCATATTTTTAAGTTTGCAATAAAACAGTAAAAAAATAGCCATAGGTTCAAGACAAGTCACCTTATTGGCATGGCATTTACTGAACCCAGGTGACGTATACTTTACCCTGACTTTTGTCACCTCTGGATCAGCTTCTGCATTGTTGAACTTTTAAGTCTGTGCTTTTTTTTTTTCTTCAGTCTACCCTTCAAAGTGCTAACTGTATCTCATTGTCTTACTTTTCAAAGTTAATTTAATACCAGTCACTAGTCCTAAATGGTTATTTCTGAAATCTACAATCCTTTATTTCTGGAACAGTAATAAATACTTACCTATATGTGCACAGCTGGTGTGACCTCTGAATCCTGACTTAGAGGTTCCTAAATTGACTAAACTCTTCTTTTGCTGCTGGGAGTTCAGCAGAAGTGACATGTGCCACACCTTCACTTGGCACTCACAGTGCCTGGCTAACATAACTTAGTCCTTGCTCAGAAATCATCTTCAGCTTTAAAATTGTAACTCAAACCTGTGGCTGTTCACATTTCACCCATAGTATAGACCTACAACTTGTACGTTCCCTGCAATGCATTGTGTGGCACTGTATTAACACTCACCAGATGTGACAACCTTTCAGTTATCATCCTTCCATGCTGGATTTAAATGACAGACTATCCAATTTCTACATTTACAAATTATTTGCTCTTCCCCAATGTCTATGACCTGTATAAAACATCCACAGAAAAATCCTCCTTCCTACTGTAGCTTCACCAGGTATTAAAATAAGAAGAGTTTGTTACATATGACAGCGTGTCAGAAAAGGCTGCACTCTGACACGAATGGACAGAGTTAGATCAGATACCTACCCACACACTTTGGCTCCTTTGAATCCCACTGTGAGGTGCCCTGGCAGGTGAGTTTGTTGTTTCCTTCAATTTCATAGCCCTCATTGCAAGTCACAAAACACACTGTCTTATAGGAGATATCAGCCGTTGAACAATTGATGCGTCCATTTTCAGGAGACCGAAGTTTAGGACATGTTCGAACTGTGAAGGGAAATAAAAACCACTAATTCACTCTGTAGCACAGAGAATCAGTGAAGTTACACGAGTTTGCCCAAGTTTACAGGGGTGGGAGAGGTACTGGCTTGTACACTAGTTACAGTAGCTTGTACAAATTAAAGGAATAGAGGCAGATGTTTTTCAAAGGCTTGATGCCTTCCTTGTCCTGGAACGGTCTTACATAGAGTCTACGAGGTTGGGCACACACTTCCAATCTCACTTCAGTTCTGATGTAAGTTCAGGCTAACAAGCTGTGCACACAGCGTGTGGCCTATGCTAGCAATGTCTATCAGCCTTCAAGATGGGACTGCTGCAGGCACTTGGAATCCTGTGAAAAAATGTGTGGCTTCGGAAGTTTCTAGTCTCTAACATTGTCTGTGAGTTCTCTGGGGGATTTCCAACTGGCAGGCTGGTATGGGTGAGTGCACACCAGGCAAGAGGCTAAGAGCTTATTAACAGGTTGGATGACAGTGTCCAGTGCCCAGGACCATTCTTGGGCATTCTGGACTGTGTTGATAGATACAGACCCATGTGAGCCTCCACAAATCAGAAGAGAAGACATTCATCATGCTGGAAGAGACAGAGGAAGAAGGAATACAAGGCATTTGTGTACACCAGGCCCGTGAGAGACGAAAAGGAACAAATTAGGCTGTTGCTGAGACAAAAGACCTTTTCAGGTGTTGGCCATGGAGGAAGTCCTGGCTGCTGCTCAGCACAGAGGCTTTTCTCCTATAATGTCTTGCAAACACTGCAAGTAGTGTGATGCCAAGGAGAATGCAGTCCTGTGCAGGATGTGTGTGCAGAAAGGGAAGCAGGGTATGGAGAGTGATCCTCAGATTGCCTTACAGTTTTACTACTGAATCCTGATGCTGCAATTTAACACAAAGCTACACTGTAATTAAGATTGATCCCAAAGCAGCACAGGTATGATCTGGATTTATGTTCTTTGTTTCAGTACCATAACCTCAAGCTTTTGTACTAGGACCTCCTTCCTTTGCATTATCTCCACCTCTCCTCCTTTACACCTAGGTTCTTATGCCTTGGCATTCATCCCCTTGCTGCCCTCTGGACACACACACTGTCTGGCCTTTGGGTCCCTCAGACACCTAAGGTGTACACACCTACAGTCTGGCCATGAATATGAGATGATGATACATCAATAACCAGCTAGTGATTTTCCAAAATGAGTGAAAAATTTGTATGGTTGAAAACTCTGCTCTTGGCTGAAGCTGTCAGATACTGCTCAGCATGTTCAATTGTTATTAGAGGGAGAAAACCAGTGACAGCAAACTGCTCAAAAATATAAACCAACAAGACTGCAGTTCTCTAAACACAGAGAATCACAGAATGGCTAAGGCTGGAAGGAACCACTGGAGGACATCTAGTCCACCCTCCCTGCTTTAGCTGAGTCATCCTAGAGCACACTGTACAGGATTGTGTCCAGACAGCTTTTGAATATCTCCTGTGAGGGAAATTCCATGACCTCTATGGGCAGCTTGTTAAAGGGCTCAAGTCACCTTCACAGTAAAGAAATTCTTCCTCAAGCTCAGATGGAACTTCCTGTGCATCGCTTTCTGTCTCCTGCCTCTGAACTCAGCATCACCTATAAGAGCCTGGCTCCATCATCTTGACAGGCTCCC